ACAGGGACCACAGAGGGTTTTAACCCCCCAAATTCCCTTCTGCCTTGGTAGAACACCCCGCTTTTGAAATACTCTTCTGACATTCAAAGCCCTTCATCTGTTTATTTTTAACAGCTAACATTTTCTGAACTTAAATGTCATCTCAGCTGGATTCCCAGAGCTTAAATCATTCTGGTCCCATAACCACTCTTTTATGCTTATAGCACATATTTTGAATTAGCTAAATTAGATTTCACTGGGCTGTCAGTGACTGTCAGTTGTGATGCTTTTGACTTCCAGTTGCAAAATGTGTGCAGGTTCAAGGGGCAACAGAGTAAGAGGATGTTTAGAGTGTGAATTAGACTTTTAATAGACAAAAAATACTCAGAAGATGGGACTCATAAATGACTTTAGATATGCAGCCATAATTATTACATGCATTCGATTCCTGTATACATATATAGGGATTTTTAGGAGGCTGGTTTCCATGGTAACTTCTTTACTGCATGGTCCATATGTTGCTTCTGAAATTCTTTTTTTCCTTAATGGAAAATTACATCCATGGACAAGGATGGCATTTGTAAATCTCCTAAAAAAGCAGTAATTTTCCTTTTCTTCCTAAATGTCATCAGCTGTGTAATGGAAGTCTTTGAAGTTTTGATTCTCCCCCTTGTCAGTTCACCAAGCAAGAGACGTGAACTGCATCCAAACCTTCCCTTTCTGCCTCCAAACCTTTGCTAGAATTCTGCCTGACAGCAAATTCCCTGACTTTGTCATGGGTGAGTGTGAACTCACTTCTCTGGGCATGGATGCATTTGGACTGGAATGGCTTCCCACAGCCAGAGGGTTGGATGGGATATTGGGAAAGAATTCTTCCCTGGGAGGGTGGGGAGGCCCTGGCACAGGTTGCCCAGAGAAGCTGTGGCTGCCCCATCCCTGGAAGTGTCCAAGGCCAGGTTGGAGCAACCTGGCCCAGTGGAAGGTGTCCTCATGGTGGGGGAGTTGAGACGAGATGGTCTCTTAAAGTGCCTTCCAACCCAAATCCTTCTATCATTCTGTGAAAGGAAATCAATATTTCTGAATGCAGAAAGGAAACTCGTTCTAAAAATTGCTGTGGAGCAGAATTGTTGTCTTCCCTGTAGCTCAGTGTGTCAAAGTTGTACAAACCCAAAGAGCTGGGGAGTGGAATCAGCTCTGCTCCCAGGGTGGACAGGGCAGCAAGTTAGAGCCACCCATAGGCACACCAGTACTTTTTGATATGTTTTTTTGTTGGTTTTAAACCTTCAAACAGTTCTTTCAAGGTTTTAGCATTCCTCTATTCATCTATTGTGGATGGGGAAAAAAAAAAGAAACCCAAACCCAGCTACCTGCACTGTTGCAACCAATTGCTTGGCCTGGTCTGTTTTTGAAGTTTAAACCAAGGGATTAGGAATCCACAACAGAAAACTCCAGCACTGGGGCTGATGGAGCAATTCCCTGAGCCAGGAGCCAGACTGGCCTGTCTGGTGTGTCCACGCTCAGACTGTGCCTCAGCATTTCATTGCTGCCACCAGCCACAGCACAGGCACATCTGTAAAATACGGATTTCACCGAGACTGGATTAAGGGTGGATTTAACTTTGTGTATTTGAAGTTTACCAAAAACCCAGAGACATTTAAATGCATTTTTAACCTCATTTTTTCCCAGCAATTTCTGATTAACGGCTCTGGCTTGGAAGCCTTTATGTACCTAAAGAGCCCATGAATGTTGGCTTTGCAGAAACCTTGCACAGCTGCACTTCTGTTTTGCATTGGAAAGGTTTGACACCTCAGCAGTATAAAGTTATAGGTTTTATCCCTAAAACTTCCCAAATGCAGTTTCCATTATTAACACGATTGTGACAGCTATAGTTTGTTTATATTGCCTCACCTGGGGCACATAAACTTAAAGGACTGAAAATACCTCCCTGCAATAAAAGAATTTTATATAATTGCTACCTCTTGCTGTAAGGGACAGCTGGCCTTTGAAAGTTGGGAACTCATTTACGTCACTGAAGGAAAATGTAAGCCTGGGGTTTAAATGACTGTAATTTATGTTTCTGAAGCTCAAAATATAAATATGGTTTCCAAAGGGCAAATACCTTTCCAAACAAACTAATACTCATAATTCATCTTAGAGAGTGGATATGTTTAAAGTCTCCTTACAGGAGGCTTTCAATGGCTGTGGTTGTTTTCTTTTGATACTTATTTTCTTACTATCTCTGGTTTGCTGCTCCCAAGGTTGAAATTTCTACTGACACCTTCCTAATTCAGCTGTTTTTAGTGTTTCCCATCCACATCCCTGTGCAGTCACCAGGGACTCATCCCAAAGATGCCACCCATTGTCGGGGGGGGCTCTGACCAGTCCAGCCCACCGGGTACATGTGGCAGTGTCTGGTCACCAAAGTCTCTTTTAAGAGCACTAAAAATGACTAATTTTTTGTGGCTGGACAAAAAAAATCAGTGAGTGGAATAGCCAGAAATCACCCTGCAGTTCTTGTGCTGAGGATTTTTTTGTCACTCTCTCTCAGCATGTTTCTGAACATCATTTATATATTTTGGGTTTAGGGCTCAATTCCAAACAGATGTTGCTTGTTTAGCTGTTTAATTTTTTTTCCTTGTTTTTAATTTATAACACTGAAAATCTCCCTGGAAAGGGCTGACACCAAAAATGTTTGTTCTAGTCTTTGGAGGGAAGCACCCACCCATGGTCCATGCTTTTATGATTTACAAATTCACCAGCATTTATTATGGCATTGCAAAACAACAGTGACAAAAAGAAATTCAGCCACAGCTCCCTCACAGCAAATTCCAGGCTCTGCAAGCTTGTATCCCATCATCACAGGGGAGCTGCATCCATTTGGATGGTTTATTTCCAAGTCTCATTTCTGGTATGCTCATGCTCTGCCTTGGCTCCATCCAGAGTTTGTCATTTGCTTTTAATATATGTTCAGATATAGCCGTGACATAAAACCAATTAATCTCATTTTCATAGTTTTCAGGAGTTTGGTTGTGCTCTGTGGAGAGGAGCAAATGGCAGATTTTCTCAGTCTTGGGTTGTGTAAGTGTGAATACTGAAATCAGGTTTCTAGTGCAAGGAGACCATGTCAGGTGAATCCGAATTTCACCTGAGCGTTGTGTGGGTGAACTGGATTCCTTCCTTAAAAGCACTTTTTTGGGCAAAAGTGAGCACAACTACAGACAAAGTATATCCAGCTAAAATGAGGCTGGATATTCAGGTCCTCCTTGTGTTTCACTGGAGCTTTATTTAATGGATTAGCCCGGTGTTTGGGAATGCTGTGGCTCACCAGAGACCAGCTGTGGGACGAAATGTTCCTTCTCCATGGAGGTTTTCCCCTGTCATGGGGAGATGTGGGCACACACACGCAGAGGGAGGGAGGCAGGTGGGATCCTGGCTGTGACACAAGCCCTCAGCTCTTCGCAGGCTGACCCTTGATGACGGATTATTGTCCTTCAGAACCGTAGTGGGAGTACTGAGGCGGGAATTTGGGAAAAACACAGAAGTGGCTTCAGCAAATGTGTTCAAGCCCTGCTCCCCAGCGAGAAGGGGAGCCTGAACTCAAGCCCAGTCCTTCCTTCCCAGCACAAGTGCAGCCCCCGGGATGTGCCGTCATGTCCCGGGAATGTGCTTCCTGGACACACTGCATCCACCTCCCTCCGGCTGCATCCACTTCCCTCCGTTCCCCGTCCCGGTGCTGCCGGGACCGTCCCGCTCTCCGGGCTGGATGAGCTGCAGGGACACCCCGCCCCGGGAGGCACAGAAGGACCAGGACCAAGGGGTTCGACTTTTTTTCACCCGGATTTTTGGAGGAGCAGAGCTGCTGCAGAGGGGAATAGCGGGTGTGGATGAGACATCCGTGTCAAAACCCCACAGCCTGACTGATCCCAGGATGCCCCGAGGGCAGCTCTGGACCAATTCCCAGCTGCACCATCGGAACTCTGTCGGTGGTAAAAGAGCAAACCTGGGTGAACACCAAACCAAGGAGCTGCTGCACCCACGGGTCGTTCCCTGACAGGAAAATCACAGATGCCAAATCACAGGATCCCAGAATGGCTTGGACTGGAAGGAATTTTAAAGCTCTCCCAGTTTCATGGGCAAGGTCACCTTCCACTGGACCAGGTTGCTCAGTGAAGAATATATTCCTTAAAATAAATGGAATGGTGTGATAAATAAATAACATAAACCATCCAGTTCGAACCACTGGTCACTGCCATGTGTGCAGAGAGGTGGTGATGGAGTTGGCAACCCCAAAAGCAATTTCCTTTCTTACTCCTCTTCCAGGGCTGGATGTCACAGGACACAATGGAAATTTAATGTTTCTAAGAGGACACTAATGAAGAGGTTGTGCCTTCCCACTGCTGGGACTGATGGAGGTGACTGCCACGATCAGGGACTGCTATCAAGGTCCAGACAAGTATTTTCCAGTCCTCTGGTACCTTTTCTTCTCTACCTGCTCAGAAACAGCTGCAGATGCTGAGATTTTAAAGCCCAGCCCTTAAGATGTAACGTGGTTGAAATGTCCATAAACACCTTGAGTCTCTTTAGAGATGTCTGTGCTTGCCAAAGTCTGCAGCTCACTGGTGTGTCTCATTATATGTGTGAACTGCAGGAAAAAAAACAACGTTTAAAGACTTCAGTACAACCTCAATGCCTTAACTGAAAAAGTAGTTGAAGAAACTCTAATTTAATAAAAAAGTTCAAAATCTTTGATATTGTTTAAGATGACCTCAAGACTTGGAATCTGTCTTGAACTGCAGTTTTTTTCCAGCATTGGCTGGAAAAAAAAGTTCAGATATTGAATAATATTGAAATATTATCTGAATATTTTTCCTTATTCCTTTTTATTAATAACCCAGAGCACCAATTGCTCAACTGAAATCTGCTGAACAGTAATCACCAGATTCTGTGTTTTATGGCTGAAATAAATCTGATGAGAAAACAGAAAAAAAAAAAGTCAATAACACTAGTGGCACGATTCACCAGGATGAAAATTCACTGATGGAAATAGGTTGCTTATAGGAGTCAAATTCTGGTTTTGAGTAGAAATACATATTGCACAGCTGACCAGGGATCCACTAAAATGGATCCAGGCTATTAATCAGCAGATATTTCTCTGTGTGTATGTGTATGTTAAGAGGATGACAAGGTACTTGATCTAGAAGAGTTCCAAGGCTACATAAAAGGCAATATTTTCTTGGATTTTGACCATAACAGAAATTAATTTTCTCTTCTTTTTCAGGGCTGGGTGTCCCTGTGGTTCGTCTGTGCTCTGCCCACAGAAGTGCTCAGGAGCAACAACCCACCCCCAGCTCGTGGGGATCCCGTTCTCCTTTCTCCAGCGAGGTTATTCCTGTCAATCCCAAACAAGAAGAGACACTTATCATTTTAGGGACTTTTCCACCATTTATCTTCCCATCCCCTCTCTCCCCTGCACAGGTGTACACTTGTTCCAGTCACTTTTCTCCAGGGAAAGAACCTGTTTTCCTGGGGGACAGGAATGCTGACCCGCTTGCCTTCTGCTCCGAGCATCCATCAAACCCAGCCTCTGTGTCCCCTGGAGTCTTAATTTTCCTCTTGACAGCAAAGACAAATGACTCCCCCAGGGCTGTTTGCTCATGTCTACTCAAGGTTTCTGTGACATTTCTTGAAGATGTCCTGGTTTTTAAACACACCATGAGTTTTCTTTCCACTGCCACCTACCACTGTGAAGGTGGAGAGAGATTTGCTTCAAGAAAACTTTATGGTGCCAATCCCTGCCACATCCTCTCTCTCTGCTTTCTGCTCTGGGCTGCTTCTGCTTCCCAGATGTTGCCAGCTGTAATGCTTTTCCTGTATTTGGGGTTGTCCTGCACAGATACAGTGACACTTCATTTGAGGTGGAACAACCAAAAGAAAATATATTTTATTTTTCAGTATTTTTTCGATCCAAGTTTTTCCCAACTCACCCTGAAATCTGACTTTTGGCTCCCCCAACACCACACCACCAGCTCCCAAATGGTGGGGATTATTCCTGTGGATATTCTCCTGTCTCTAGGATTAGCTCACTCTCTCTGACCTCCACGACCACAACATGAGAGGTGGGAGCTGCTGTTTGAATCATCAAACCAAAGGCAAGGGGTGGTTTGTGTGTTGTTTAGAATGATAGTTTCACTGGGTTGTTCCAGGTGATGCAAGGAAACATGTGACACTGGGAACATTTGCTGTCAAGACAGCACGTAGTAAACACCAACTTTGCCAAAAGACAATTGGACAGATAATCTCCCTCACATTAATTACTTTTAGGCTTTTAATAGCTTTTAAGGCTTTTTTTGGTGCCTTATTTATAAGATATTTCTGGAAATGACAGCCACGTTTGTAAGAGTCTCAAAGACAGCTTCTTTCCCCACTCTGGGAACAGAGCAAAGCGATGGTCACCCACCTGCCAGCCCCTCACAGGTAGATTATCCTCTGCAAAACAGTGCCTTGAACACAATTCTCCTTCTCTGCAGCCACATGGAATGGACCTGAACTCCACATCCCCCCTGGGGAGGCAGGTAGGCAACAACAGGAACCAGGAGTTGGTTTTGTTATTGAAATCTCCAGGGAAATAGGGACAAAGCAGCTTCAATCCCCCCATTTTCTCATTTTGGAGAGCTTGTCTTTGCAATATAGCTCTTTAACGTCATCCTTGATGAAAATGTCCTTCCCTTCATCCCCCTCCTCCCAGAAAAAGCTCCCTGCAGTGTCACACATGGAGCTTGCACTGGGAATACTGAACACCCTGATCTGCAAGGAGCACTGCCAGCCCCGGCTATGATCAAACCCTATAAAAAAACAAAGGCACTCTCTGGCCAGATGCATTTGGATGTTGAAAGAGAGAAGAACGTGGTTGCCACTTTCCAGCTTCTCTTGGCACAAGGATTTTCCAGTCAGCCAGGACATCCCGAGGATGGGAAGCAGCACAGGACCACCTGCGTGCTGGCTGTGCTCAGCAGCTGACACATCCCTCTGAGCACCAGCCCTTCCAAACACAGCCCACAAAGTGGTTTTGATCCCACCTCAGTGACCCCAGGGCTGCCAGGGGACCTTCTTCTGCATCAGAACGAGCTCCTTGTTCACATAAATCATAGAATAGTTTGAGGTGGAAGGGATTTTAAAGGTCATCTAATCCAACCCCCAAATGAAAACGATGCAGTCTGGACACGCCACCCTACAAAGTCTCTGTTGAATGCAATAATCACACCCTGGTAAGCTCTGAGTTACTCTGCAAAGGGAAAAAAAAAACCTCTCTAAACCCCACTGCTTTGTCCTTTTACCTTATACCAATTATATATTGAATAATTTAAACAATCCACACGCCATAACACGCCCTCGAATGTTTATTTGAGCTTCCCCAAAATTTGCTTTGCATGTTTATCCCTCCATTTGTTCAGGAACGTGAATGTTCCCTGACTTCGCCCTGTGCCTTTCAGCATTATTTTATGGAAATTCCCATTTCCTGCACTGAAAGAAGCCCTGATGATAATGAGAGGCTTGAAGCGTTTCAAACAGCAGCAACAAAAAAAAAGCAGTTTGAGTCAATTCTGCTTTTTGTTCTTAATCAAAACTGGTTGTGTGCATTTGCATCGACAACGAGCTGAGCACACAATGCTCCATATGGGCTTGGCTGCTGGCATTCCGTGAATGGCAGGAGCCACTGAAAGGGCTCCCTGGTTTTCAAAGATTCAGGGATGACCTTGTGAAAGTGTCATTTGTCACTGCCTTGTCCAGAATCACTAGAAAAATCCCTGGAAACAAGCCGTGGAATTGCAGAGCCCAATTCTCACAGGCCAGAGCAGCACAGCAGCACTTACTGACTGAGAAACAGCAGGAAATAAGAAACTGGAAGCCTTTAATGGAGCCCCAAAAGATTTTCCTTTCATGATTCTTTATCTGGATATTGCTCTTCCACTTCAGATGTTACTCATTTTTCTGGCACGTTATTATACCAAGTCCACCGTCAATAGGAATGCAAACAAGCCATGGACCATTAACCTGGACACCTATTTGCAATTCTGAAGGGTCTGAAACACTTGGAAACAACCCACAAACTTTTACTGTTCCCCAGTTCAGGCCTGATCTCGCACAACCCCTGCACAGTGATTCCGGTTGAGTTGCACCCAGGAGGGGGGATCCACATCTGTGCCATTTTAGGACCAGCTCCCCGTTTTTGAGCACATTAACAGCACCCAGAAGGGCTGTGGTGCACAGACTTTGCAGGTCTGCTCTGCAGAGCATGAACAATTAGGAGAAATTGGGACAGTGAGTCCCACAGGCATCCCCAGACGTGCTGTCGTGAGTGGCTGGACGAGTTCTGCTCAGGAAGGATTTATTTCCACTCATTTTGGTCTTGTGGCTGTGAGAGGCTTGCGAAACCTTTCACCTTCTTTCCCCGGAGTCATATATATTTTATGAGAAATTTAAGAATTACCTCTTATTAAAATGGGGGATAGTGTAATTACCAATAAAAAGCAGATGTTATGGCATGACTAATGCTCGAAAATGTGTGTGCAGCAAGCACAACGTACCGGCACATCCAGGCTTTTCACTGAGATAATAAACATTGTCTTTGTTGAAACGAACTGGCCAAGTCTCAGAGGGCTGAAGTTGCAGGGAAATCACTGTGGAAAATGCTGGAAGACCAGCTTAGCACCCACTGATCCCAGCACCAAAATGTAACTCCAGAAGGCTGAGGGGGAGACTCCCCATCCCTGTTCACCTTGACCACGTCAGGAGGGGTCTGGAAAGGTGTCCTGTGAAAGCACCCTGACCCTCTGTGCTGAGAGCATCCTTCCCCTGCAGGCTGTAATGAGCCATAATTAGTGAGCTCCCTGACACCTCCAGCGCCTCTCAAGGGTCCACAACCCACCTGCAGCAGTCAAGATCGTTCCCTTGGATCCCTCCCAAGGATTTTGGCAAGGCGTGCCGGGAGCGATCCGCGCAGGCTGACTTTTGAAACAGGAACGTGCAAACAGCATGGAAATGGAGTTCAACAAATCTGCTCAGGCAATCCCAGGGTTCACAAACTTCTGCTCAGCTCAAAACTTCCTCTCTCTTCCTTTCCTGAAAATTGCATTTGTTGCTCTCTACAACGAGCTGAAAGGAGGTTGTGGCGAGCTGAGGGTCGGCCTCTTTTCCCGGGGAACCAGAGATAGCACAGGGGGAAACGGCCTTGAGTTACACCAGGGGAGGTTCAGGTTGGACATTAGGAAAAACTTCTTCACTGAAAGAGTGGTTAAACATTGGAACAGGCTGCCCAGGGAAGTGGTGGAGTCACCATCCCTGGATGTGTTCCAAAACCAAGCAGACATGGCACTTTGACTCGGGGTATTCAGTCCTAAGTGGGACTTTACGATCTCAGAGGTCTTTTCCAACCTTAACAATTCTATGACTCTGTTACTTTTTGGCGTAAAGGAATCTTTAAAGACACACTCGGTTTGCAAAAGAGCCTTTGCAGCTCAGGAGGAGTGTTTGGACATCGGGGTGTGGGTGTAAATCTGGGGGCACAGGGAGGATCTGTGCCTTGGATGGGGGAGGCTGCAAGGGCAGCGGGAGCTGGAGGTGGGAGCTCAACAAGCAGGGGGGCAGGAGGGCATGCAGGGGGTGCCTGTGGGACTCACTGTCCCAATTTCTCCTAATTGTTCATGCTCTGCAGAGCAGACCTGCAAAGCCTGTGCACCACAGCCCTTCTGGGTGCTGTTAATGTGCTCGAAAACGGGGAGCTGGTCCTAAACTGGCACGGATGTGGATCCCCCCTCCTGGGTGCAACTCGACCGGAATCACCGTGCAGGGGGTTGTGCGAGATCAGGCCTGAACTGGGGAACAGTAAAAGTTTGTGGGTTGTTTCCAAGTGTTTCCAACCCTTTAGAATTGTAAATAGGTGTCCAGGAGGGCCTGGGACACCACGGCAGCCATGGGCTGGTGCTCAACCCTGCCTTCTCATCTTCAAATCCCAAGTTTTGGGGACTTTGAGTCTTCCTCTGTCCCAAAGCCTGTGCCCTGCTCAAAGCGCGGTGATTCAGGGTGTAAATCAGGCAGTGGAGGCATCCCCATTTTTTCCTTAAGTCCCTCCCACCTTTCCTCTGCACACAAATGCCATATTTCAATTTACAGGGAAAAAAAGAAAAGAAAAGCAAAGTCTCCAAATCCTCAGACTATTGTTGGCCCTGTGGGAGTGGGAGCTCACTGGAGGAAGCTCCAGCCCTGTGCTGGGATGTGCTGCAGGCTGGGGGGGGTTTGTTCACGCTGGTTTGTATCAGAATTAGCTCTGCCATTCTCTGGAATGAAACCAAGGCGTGTGCACGAGCAGCCTTGACAGCAATTAGTCCTGGCAGAATCTTTGTGGCAATGAATTTCAATGATGCTGGGGTTTTGGGTGCCTGAACACTTCATTAGTTGCTGGTCTATCACACTGATGCAGCTGAGAAATCACATTACAATAAACCACTTTTTACTGCAGGCAGCAACCAGGATAATAAACGGGATGAATAATAATATAGTCCGTTCAAAATTGTTCCTGTGCTTTAGAGCTCTGGAATTTCAGTAAATAGATCAAATACTATGCAGGGATGAATCTTATTCTGAATTTCTCCATTACCCAGGTATTTATGAGCAATTTTAATGTATTGTCAGAGGAGCTGTTTCAATCTATTACACTTGCCAGTTAAACTCTGAAATACATACATGTCGAGGCAGCAATAAGAAAAATAATCTATGATTTAGCAAAAAAATACTTTAAGTCTGAATGGAGGAAAATAGATGATAACTATTTCAGTGTGAAATATCACTGTGTCTGTTTCTATATATTTACAGGATACATTCTTTTTTTTAAAGTATGGAAAGACATTATTCAGAAAATAACTTTAAAGGCACAACAATACATGGATTAAAAATACCTTAAAAGGCACAACTGAGGCGTTTTCCTGCTTTCTTCTATGTTTATAAACCAGAAATGCATTATTGTATGGGCAGATATTGGGAGAGCAACTCAGCACAAGATGATAGTGATAGGACAGGGGGGAATGGTTTTAAACAAAAAAAGGAGAGATTCAGATCAGATGTTAGGAAGAAGTTCTTTAGTCACAAGGTGGTGAGGCCCTGGCACAGGTTGCCCAGAGAAGCTGTGGCTGCCCCATCCCTGGAAGTGTCCAAGGCCAGGTTGGACGAGGCTTGGAGCAACCTGGGCTGGTGGAAGGTGTCCCTGCCCATGGCAGGGGGTGGAAGTGGATGATATTTAAATTCCCTTCCAACCCAAACCATTCTGCGATTCTATGATTATGTCACAGTAAAACTGAATGTTCCTTATCACTGTCTTTGCAGGGTTTGGTATGAAAATGAGAAAAGAAGCATTAATCTAATGCTGTTTCTGTTAAAATTTATCCTTTGGAATGTGTCACTTTGGCTGCTGGTTGCTTGGTTGGATGTCCATCTAACAGGCTCTCCCTCACCAGCGAAGGAGGTGGAGGAAGGTGCTCTCTGCTGTATCAGGGCTGATCTCAGCAGTTCAGTACCTCACTGGCAGGGATAAAAGCAACTGATGCTTCTTTAGAAAGAAGCCAGGCCATCTGTGAGCATCCCAATAAAGCCTGGATGGCCACAAGACTGTCCTGGAGAGCAGGAAAGGGCCAGCTCTGCCAGCAGGGAGAGCTGGGGGTGGGTGGAGTGTTCCCCCTTTGTGATGCTACCCCAGAACCCCATCCCCATGGCAGCCAGAGACACGGGATGATTCTCTCCCCGCTGGCTTTCCCTTCTTGGATTCTTCCTGAATATTTGGTAACTATAAAAATGTCTTTTTTTCTCACCCTGGTGAACGGGTGGGTGGCATTTATGTCACCCAATGTGGAGATTCAGGCCCTTTTGAATGAGATATTTCTGAGATATCCTTTAAATGCAAAAAAAACCCCCTTAGAGACAGGGCTTTAGATAAGAAAAAAAGCAGAAGAAAATAAATGTGAATGGGGAATTAACAGCACCAGAGTGGCAAACAGCCAAGAGCAGATGAATTTTCTAGTACAAAAGTATTTGTGTGTGTTTATCTATAACAGCAAGATGACCTTTTCTTCCCCAGTGAAATAGTGTCTTATGGCAGTGATGATCTGATAAATTAGCCTTTCAAATAAAGACAGACATAAAAGTAGAGTTGATTTGAAACATCCAGTTCAAACTCTTTCAGAGACCTGAATTGCATCTGCCTGTTTTGGTTGCATGGAAAATCAAAAAGAATGTATCTGGAGGAGAGGAGGATTCTGCAGGTCGTTGTTTTTTTCAGGCTTTACCCAAATTTTAACGTTCTTCCATTTCCAGAACGCTCAGAAGCACTGCTGATCTACCAAGATTTTCAGGAGACCATAAATCACCCTAAATAACCCAAGCCTGTGGGAGTTCCTTGTCTTTGGCCTGGAATCTGCCAAGGCAGCTCATGAAAGCTGATGTAAGTTTAACCTCAAATGAGGTACAAACACTGTCTCTGTGGGCCATGGTTCCATACAGTGCCAAACTAGTAGGCTATGGGAAATCAGGTAGCAGGGTGTGGAGACCTTGTTTTTCAAGCTTTATTCTTGCTGCTTTTCATCAACACAGAGAAAACATCAAACATCATATTTTTCCGGTGTGAACTGCTAAAGACTGCTTGAGAGGAACTAACTTGGTATGTACATTTAATTAAAAACCCTGCATGAGGAAACATTTTAAGACTGAAGGAGAAAGAGCTGAAAGACAACGTGAAATCCTTGTGATCCTCAGTCTTTTAACTGGCCTCATTCTCCCTCAACCCCTCCTGCCAGGCCCTGGGTGTGCAGCAGAACAGATTAAAATTGGTGGTTGATTTTACCTGTGGCTCTTGCCCATTGACACCATCATTTTATCACATTTGATTAAATACAAATTCATTTCAGGACCTTCCAGGAGACATCCACATCCCCATCACTCAGCCCAGGAGTCTCAGAGCACATCCTGCTGAGCACAGACAGTCCTGAAGGCTTCAGTACCAACCTCCTGCTTTGCAATGAGCCATTCCCAGATTCCCTGGTGCTGGATCTTGCATACCTGCCCTACTACAGAACCTCTCAAGTCTGTATCAGCCCATCTTCCCACTCTGCATCATCACACACCCTCCCAGAAGCAGAAGAAAGCTCCGATGAAGGCAAGGCTGACACCAAGCAGGATGAGAAAGTGAGTTATTCAGCCACCTCCACGGGATATTTTCTGTACTGCAGAACATATGAAGAGCTTCTGGGCAACCACTCACATGTGGATTACCTGTATGGTTAAATTGGGTTAAATACCTGCAAATTAGGGGAGGTGAACTCCCCTTTAATGTTTCTCAAAGGGGTAGGAAGGGAGGAAGAAAGGTAGGCACATCTCACGCCACACTGTTCCTCAAAGTTAGGGCCTTAGGAACAAAGTGATGTCTTGTGCTCTGAAAACGTGATGCAGGAGCAGAGCTATCTGCAGGAAGGAGATACCTAAGGCAGCCCTGGCAAGGTCCCTGTCCCTTGAAACAACCTGTGGACCCCAGACTCCTGCTGCTCTGATGGGATCTGTCCCACTGCTGTCCCTGCTGTGTCCCCAGGGGCAGTGCAGTCCCCATCGTTTGAACCCTTAGCTCTTGGTCCTGTACATATTTTTTTCAGAGCATCCCACCAAGTCTGGAGCTGAGCAAGAGGACAATTTCTCCTCCAACCCATGGAAAGAAACCATCCCAGCAGCTCCCATCAGGAGCCAGCAGCTCTGAACTCTGCCTGCCCTCCTCCCCCAGCAGGATCCCACCCCTGAGCCAGCCCCTTCCCCCCAGAGGGTACTTCCCTTACTACAGGACAGAGGGAGAGATCTGCACCGGCCCAGCTCATGGAAATGGGTCCTTCACTGGGACAGAAGGTCTGGAGACCAAAGAGGGAAGGCAGAGGGGAGGAGCAGGTTTTTGGAGTCTTGGTGCCAGCTGCTTGGTGTGCTGAGGAGAAAGCAAGGGTGTTGTGAACAACATGAAAATCTGCATGAATATGAAATATGAGTATTCATGGATTGAATGTGAAATAAAAATATTCATTCTCTCAAACAAAGCAACAAGTGATAACCCAGACTGTGTAACAACAACAGAAAGAAGCAGAGCAGGAACTGACTGATCTGGGGAAATCCAAATGAATTTACTCTAGAGGTGAGGAAGAGAAATGTTTTTCTGTGGCTAATCCCAAAGGAAAGATGCTCACTCAAGGGATGTGCAGCTATGGGAAATGGCAAATAGGGAAAAAATAAAAAAAGGAATTATTTAAATCTAAGCTGCTTGGAGAAATTAAGCAGAGACATAATTTCCAGTAGGGATTGGGAAATACATTTCCTTTCCTCCTTGCTACAATCCTTCCATTGTTTTACTGGCATCTGTTAGACCTGGTTACTGTGCACAACAGCCATACACAGGAGAAAAAAAAACCCCAAAACATTTTTATTTAAATTCTTTGTCAATAAGATTTTTTGAACACATTTCCATTATGTCTGTCTTCATTTCACTTGCACAGTCAGTAATGAAAATCCTCCTGATTACTTTAATATGTGCAACTATGAGCTCCTATAAACATCAGTTTTGACTCTGGAAAACTGGGAAACAGCATCCAGAAACAATTTGGCTTTGGTGAATCTGGACTGATTTACACCAGATGAGGATTTGACCAAAAAGGTTCAGCTTGGTGTTTGCAGTTGTGAAACCTTGCAACATCCTCTTCTTGCTGCCAACTATGTCACCTCTTCGAGACACCACACCAGTTGATGAAACACGGCCCTTTCCCATCCCTGTGCTGTGCACAGTCAATTCCTGCTCAAAACAGAGGAGTTTATTCCAACCATTTAGTATATCTTGGAGTGCTCCTGTAGGGATGACACTGGTGTGATAGTGTATGGATAGGCTGGATCTAAATGTACCAGTGTCACCTATTTTCTCTTAAGGATCAAAGGAGAAAAACACATCATTTTTAGTTATTTCACATCTCCATAGTCAGACCAGTTTTCCCTGTGCTGTGTGTGACACTGAGACCAGGAATCCTACAGCCATGCAAGGTACATGATGGTTGGGATAATCATTTCTGCCCACACTGCACTTTTGGGAGGGGCAGTGGAAAGGGATTTTTGGCTGGATGCTTAAAACCAGCAAAGCTCCCAGACTGCAGCTTTGATCCCAGTCTCTCTGGGACTGTTCAGGATGAAGTGGTGGCTCACCCCCAGGTTTTTAAAAAACCCAGGTTCAGCCAAACTGGTGAGAATTCATCCCAATGTCCACACACAGCTGCCCCAGCTGGAAACAAGAATGCCTTCTGCATCCCTGCATCCTCAGCACCTCAGCATCATCCTGCCACCTTCCCACTGGAAAACAATCTGACTCTGGATGAAACAAGTCTGACTGTATGAAACAGCTTCTGGTTTTAAGCACAAAGAAAACTGATGCCTCGGGTACGTTGAAAGAAAGCCATGAAAAATACAGTGAGATTATCCAAACCCAAGGGAGCAGGCAGAGGAGGGAAGGAATTCTGTCTGAAAAGCAGGTGTGGTTTGTTCTGAGAATATTAAATTCAGCATTTCCATAAATTTGGCATATTAAAGTAGCTTCAACTCTGGAGCATCAAATCCACAAATCTGCCTGACTTCTACTAGATAGAAAATAGCTGCTTCCTATTGGCTGTACTTGATAATTTATGGGAAGAGTGAACATCAGAAATCAAGGATTTGGGAGATGAGTATTACAAGCTTTACGCTTATGGATCAGAGAAGCGTAATTTTAATCAAAAGCTGGCAAATATCATATCATATGTTGCCATCTTGAAGTTGGAGCTGAACAAAACTCGCAATTTTAATATATTTTCCATGCAGAGGTAAAAAGGAAAGGATGGAAGGCAGC